GTGTGTCTGTGTGTGTGTGTCTGTGTGTGTGTCTGTGTGTCTGTGTGTGTGTGTGTGGTGGGGGGGTTGTTCACAAGGTTTAGTTCATTTCACAAAGTGCAGTGTAAATGTGAACAGCACCAAATGAAAATGTAAACAAATCTTGCAATTTTGGTCCCCAATCCAACCGAGTCTACCAGACTATCAGGTGTGAAYACTCCAAAGTGACTTTTAGTCMAGTACCATCCAATWCCAAGAAYCCACCATTGACTGGACTCTCCTCTGGCACCCGAGAAAAGGGTTAAACAAGTTAAGGATTTTTTTTCTCTTCAATGAAGCCAAACTTCAGTTCTCAGAAATAAAAAATGACCTGGAGCCACGTTTTATTTAAGAAACTTATTTTTGTCATAGCTGTTTCCACTAACATGTTTTCCTTTTTACATGTTGATCAGCTCAGCCTTCAAGTTTCTAAACTTCATCTTTTAAACCAAAAMGATCTTTACCTTCAAACTGCAGCAGCAACATCAGAATCAACTCCAGAACGGCCATTTGATCTCCTCCTGTCAGCTGATGAACAATAAGAGGATTTTCTGCTTCTGCTGAGCTAAAAGTGCTGTTTCCTATTTGTAGATGACTTGACAGTAAAAAAAAAAATTTCACAACAACAGTTCCTGTTTGTGTKCATTTTTACCATGTTTAATGTTTCCTCTAAACAAACTGAAAACCACTTTTACAGAATCAAACCTCAGTTATGTTGAGCTGAATGTGGGTGAAATGTTTCCTTTTTAACATTGATGAAATGTTTCAAACCACAACACATTTATTTTTACAAGACACTTTCTGTATAATTTAATAGGAAGTGCAATAGAATGAAGAGGAGGGAAGTGAACAGAATAACCACAATAAAAGCAAATAGCAACATGATTTATGTTGGTAGTTTAGTCAAGTGGTAGAACTTTCACTGTAAAGTCATTGGGCCTCATGCAAGAACATGTTCGTATTCTTCTCCTAAATTTCTCTTACTTTTGTTCGTACAAAGGGTTCGTACGAACATGTCACGTCAGATTCAACAAACTCTTCTATCTTCAGGAAAAGGGTGTAAATGAGCTGCATGATGAATACCACCTGTTCTATCCAGCTGCTCGTGCAC